CACATTTTAGTGAGTTTGCCATTCCATTTGAAATTACTTCATTGAAGAAGGCTCCTTCTATTCCAACAGAAAGAGAAAAACCAAGAGTTATACAAAATGTGGAAGAACTTTCACCAGTAAAACAGGACAGCTTCCTCCAAACCATTTTGTTTCCAGCCAGGCATAACAAAAAAACAGATGTTGGAAGTAATCAGAACCATTATCGCAAGAGAAATCTTAGAAACTTCTTCAAACAGCACTGTCAAGTGTGTCATGATCAGCAGTTGCAAAGGATATGGTCTGCTATCTTGTTCATCATCAGAAGTTTCAGTAGCTCTTATTAATTACATAGGGAAAGGAATTAATGACAGATAAAACAGATTAGCTTCCTCACAATTGCTGCTCTTGTATATCTGATCAACTGGGTAGAAGTAGCACACCACAAAAATATTTAATCATTGCTGTGGTTGAGTTAGTAAGAAAAAAAACAGTTGAAATGATGAAAGAAAAGTTTCATTTTCATCCCAGGTCTTGCAGTTTTAAAGGACTTGGGTTTGGTATTGTCAACACAGGAGTCAAAGCAAAGTCACAATCAAGGGAAGGAGCATTGCCAGGTAAGCTGAAGCTCTATGGGAGTCCCTACATTATTAACTACCTGAGAAACAAGCTGCCACATCTCTCCTCTCCTCTCTATCCATTTTCACCTTCTAATCTGTCCTAGATAGATCCGAGTGCATCACAGGAGCAGAAGTGACAGTGCTGAACTTTCTTCCCTGTATAGAAGGGGTTTTCCATCTTTAGCAGTCTGCAATCTGGATGAGATTAGCAGAACAAGCCAGACACACACACAGTCCTTCTATAACAGCACGTTGGAAATGAAAGATGTTCTAACACGGACAAGGCCACAATGCCTGTGACAAACGGGGTCTGTGACCTCTGTGCCTCCCAGCTCAAACAGTGCTTTATGTCAGTGCCTGACACCTTCCAAACTTAACTTTAAGAACAGACAAGAGGACTGTTTGATATGGATTATTTTGTTAGGTCTCCATTCCCATCTCCCCTGCAACACAACTCCTATTAAGCATTGACTAGTTCAAACTTGTGTAACTGCTTGCTCAGACAAAACCCCCAATGCTTCCATATGGAGCTCTGCCAAAGGAAAAGACAAGATTTGGCCACCAGCACCTATGGTGCAACCTGGACAGGTCTATGCAAGGATCTGCTCAGTGGCATGTAGTGTTACAGGCTGCTATTTGAATCTATTTTTGAATGTCCTCTGCTCCAGTTACTCTGCTGTATCTAGTTAAGTGCCCTTATGTCCAAAAACATTCAACAAAGATGTTCTACAAACACTCTGTGTACAAAGTTGGTGTTACAGATCAGCAAATTAGTCAAACCAAGATGCAACAGACACTAATTCTTCCCACAGCAAAGAACATCAGTAGGAAGGATCTTTCCACTTTCCTCAGAATATGATCACTTGATAAATATAGATCAGAATGTTACTAGGGCATGTACACAACTATTAGTTTTTTAGTAACTGATACCCCTCTCACAGACAGCAAAAGATATAACTAAAAAAAAAAAAAACCAGCCAAGCAACTGATCTTGCAAAAATGGCCTGTAATAAAATACAAGACAGGAAGGTAGGAAGGAAGTTGAAGCAAATCAGTAAGTTTGCATTTCACATGTTCAATTGATTTTAGAAGCCAAACTCCCTATCAGCTACACAGCTACAGAACACAACAGGTTCCACCCAACAACATGAAATCTCTAGGCGTGCTGTCTGTTCAACAGGGCTGATAATTTTTTTGTTAAACAACCCTTAAGGTTGCCTGTATATAAAATTGAGTTATTGAGTTCATAGTTATGTGCTGTGACCTCTCATTGCCTAGTTTGGTGGAAGATTGACGAGAAAAATCCTTTTTCAGCAATTACTAGGAAATATCTAGAGAAACAACTTTGAAACCTGTCAAACATATGTAGACTTAAAGTCTTAGGCAGATACTGAAAATAATTGTCCATCAGTCTTACTGAAGTCTTTGGTTTGCCTTTAATCTATTCTGCTAATAAGCAAGACTTCTGAGGAAAACACACACAACACTGTTCTCCAGAAGCAGCAGGTTCTCATACCAGTATTTTTGGTTACAGATTACCAAGCACTAATCAGGAGGTTTTGCTACAAGATCAGACAAAGGACTGAAGTCACTGGCAGCCACCTTTTAGAGGCCAGTCCTTACTGGAACCAATGAACTGTCATATGAGTGTAGAAATATGGCCTAAAAAAATGGTAAAAACAGAGGTTTTTTCAACAGTAAAATTGGATTTGTTGGCATCATCCTACACCTTGTGCATACACAACACAAAGCCTTTATATAACTATGTCGTAATTTGCCATATTACCAACTCAGGAGGACAGAAGCAGCATGACCGGTAGTGAGACAGCTGTCCAAGGAAGTTCAGACAGCTTCTGCCCACACAACATCCTACTGTAGCTCCAACAACCTCTAAGAGCAATTCATACCTTCATTTCTCAAACTCTAAACAAATGTATCCTATAACATAATTTGCTCCCATGGAATCTAGGCAGTTAGATTCACTCAGGTCCTTCAATTAAGAGCGTGTTTTGTCATTTTCCAAACAAAAATGGATCCTTTGCTATAAGAAAAATCTTTTGTGTGAGGCAATCATTGAAATCTTCTTAAATGCTGCTCTGGGGCAAAGGGGAAGGATTACATCAAATTTGGCTGAACTAAAAATGCCTCTGATGGAGATCTTATTTTTATATTACGTTGGTGGATATTCATTAAAGCCACATCAGCTGCTCATCGTGGGAGATTTTGAACACTTTGGTAACATACGAATAAAGTGTCACAGTAATTCAAAGCTCCGGGGTTGTTCGGTAAGCACCTGCCAGGAAAAAAACATATTACATCAAGTTAAGTCAGCAGCTACCTAAGATATGCTTGATTAGATGCATCCTTAAAATGCAACATTGGTTAATTACTTCAGTAAACAAAGTTAGATAAGTTAGGCTGAACATCTGCCCTTTCTTTCTTCCTTTTTAACTGTAGGCACATTTGCAAATCAGGCCTGGACCCTCGCCTTCATGCTAACATCTCCACACCTTGTAAGATGTCTGGAGGAATGAAAAGGTGTCCTAAAAGTTTGAGGAGGATCCGCTTGGTACAGATACTGCAGAAGGCAGCCACAGAGCTGTCTTGCAATGGCCAAAGGCGTATCAAGCTTCAACAAAAAGAAAGAGCATCAGATAGATCCTCAGCAAGCAGCATCGAACACTCTCCAGTCAGTCACAAAGCAGCCTGAAAAAGCTTCCAAAACTAAGAGAAAGCATCAAGACTATCAACATCACACATGGGACCTTTCCAGCCTGCAGGACTAGACTGTCCCGTAGCCTTAGCCAGATTAAGGGAGTACTGATCTGCCCACTGATCAAATACATCTCTGGGACTTTTGCTTTGCTCATGTTTGGCATTCAGGATGAATCTTGCTAGTGAAAAGAAGGAACTCAGCGCACACCTGATAAACAAACATTTCTCAAATAACATGCATGCAAATTCAATATAGATTACAAACCATGCAATCAGTGATTCATTACCCTGTCAATACCCAGACTTATGTCAAGACAAGAACATAAAATTCTCTGGTCTGTTTTCTAAATATCTTCTCAAGGGAAGGAAGAAAAAAAAAAAAAAGAGAGAGAGACAAGACTACGCAAGTAGCCAAGTACAGCAATTATCTTCCAACTAGTAGCTGGGGAAAATAAGCTATCCAAAGACATCCTATCACTCATTTGAGTCCTTTATTTAAAACACTACATGGCCTAAAACCATCTACAGATACCTATACTACCTTTGCGTTCCCAATCAATGCCCTCTGTCTTACATTTGAGACCTGACCATGCAGCCTTTAACAAATAAAAACCTCCAACGTGCTAACGGAGCTACCAATAGGAGTATTTTGGTACAATTTTGCAGAATTAATGGACTCCCAAAATAAGTACCACGCAGTAGTAAACTGTAAAACATTTTCGTCCTTTTCCTTTTCCACTTTATTTTGCATGTACACAGAATTATTTTTATTATGAGAATATTCACATTCATTTGATACCTATTGCCAAAAAGTCACAGAATAATTCAGGTTGGAACAAATCTCAGAAGTTCTCTAGTCTAACCTGCTGCTCAAAGCAGGTCAGCTGTGAGAGATCAGACCAGATTTTGATATCTTGCAATGGTCAGTCAAGTTTATGATTTTCAATGCACAGCTTTTTCGTAACATATTTTATAGATGATATAAAATACATACAGTAATCATATATCTATGTTGTAAGACCATCAAGGTTTTAAAGAAGTAAGGTATATTTTTAAAACTACAGTCCTGAAAAGATGTGAATATTGAGCAAATATCCCTTGCACATGCAGTTTACAAACTCCTTTTGGATACTTGGCATTTTACATTTGTTTAAAGAATCACTATAACAAGTAAAAGTAAGAAAACCGGTCATTTTCCAGCCTTCTTCAAACCAATCTCTATTAGTTCCTATTAATTTCATGCTAAAACTTAAATATTTCAGTACTTCACTTAACCATATGGTTGAGCTGTTTGCACATGAAGCCACTGGCTTCATTCCTCACCCTGTTTCCAAAGACAGACTAAGCAGATGTTGACTGCATAATGTCTCCTGATAATAATTGTTCTGTGGGCATTGGCGTCCAAGAACACTGTCAATGTGACATTTTTTTCACTGCATTACATTCTTTTCTCTGTACAGCTGCCCTTTGTATGTTTTCCTTTCTCGAAAAAAACTAGGAGTTATTCAAGCATATTTCACGTTTAAGTTAGAAAGGTACAGGCAACAGCAAGAAGCCAAATTCAGATAGCAAACTGTGGAAAGAAGGCTGCTTCCAAAAAAAAACTTTAAAATTACACAAAAGCAGAACATTGCGTATATAAAGCACAGTTGAGGCTGTGTAGCGTTCTGCACTGCAGTAAACACAAATAACATTGACTAGATGTTTTTTGGTAGAATCCCCAATTTGGAAGTTTTGATCTAGTTATCTGATTAAACTGTTTAATAACTAACCCTTTCAAAAGGTTGGGTGAATTTCAATACTCTTGACAGATAGAGTATGCAGCTGGTAGGGACTTGACCTTTTCAAGCAGTACAGTACATTCTGTGTAACAGCATACTTGATAAGGAAAATTAGTTTATGGATGAATCACTAGTATTGTACACAAGCATGTGCCTTAAACAGGTCTGTGCAAGCTTCTGCATGGGATAATAAATAAAGGAGAAAATAAAAAAATACAAATTTTCTGAGAAGAGGCGTGTACATAGGTTGTGACAATAAACTGGAAGAGATAAGGGTAAAAATACAGGAAAATATAAGTTAGAGGGGTCAAAGGAGCTTGGGAAAGGGCTGCAGAGGAGTCTGCAAGGACATGAGCACAGTTCCCTACAGAGCACTGCTCTTGTTCAGAGAAACAAGCTGAAATCAAATGGCTGAGTACATCTTCACCTCATTTCAGCAGCGAGTCCATCAAGCACAGAAGATAAATGAAAAAGACCTCAGAAAAGAGGTCTTCCCTTACAAAAATCACCAAATAATCCTCAGGACATTACATATCCACTTTACACACTTCAGTGTGGTCAGAGCTCTTGAAGGAGGGAAGGGAAGGTGTTACGTGCCTACATACAACAACACACAAATGCCAGAGTTGATAACTACAACGTGAAAGCCAATTTACTTCTAAATGCCTCTAAAAAAAGATTTTTCAAAGAATGTGACATCTAAAAATCAAATTTTAAAAATAATAACTCAAAAAAAAAGACAACAGAATAGTTGCTGGTAGGTTTAATTTTTCTGGACATAAATTCTTGTTAAATGAGAAATTTAGGAGTTGTGTGTGTGTAATACAGCTTTAGATATGCAGAAAAATACATGTTCAATAGCAAAACTTTAAGTATCAGCACTGGGTTTTGGGTTTCTGTTGGTGTTTTTTTGTTTGATTTTTTTTTTTAATACTCCACTTAGTTGAACACAAACACAGATCATCATATAATACAACTGAAGCTTTATGGTCCACTATTCTGCTTGATTATTTTATTTACTTCAGTATTACAACTATGGGAAAGAAGAGATGCACTGAGCCTTTTGTCTACTTCATTTATCTTAACTCACTTTTCATAATTTATTTTCACAAGTTTCACATTCAGATCTAATCTTTTCCATCACATTTCCTTCCTGCTATTATCTTAATCTTACAACAGCAATAAAACCCTGTCAAATACCTATTAACTGCCTAACACTTAAACAGAAACTCTAAGTATTTCCCACAAATCCTGCCTCATCCTTCACCATTCTCATAGCCTATTCCCACGATATTCCGCTGCCAATTCACAGATATTTTTCTGCCATCTCATTTCCACACTCTTACCTTGCTTGACACAGTCATTCTGACTATAGTATTCACAGAGGAAATTTCTTCACCTGCTGAAGTCAAAAGGCAACACGGCTTACTATGATGCCATCTAATTTCCTCTGTGAATACTACAGTGCATGCAGCATCTACCATGAACTAGAAAAAGGAACTTAATCCTTACACATCAGAAAAGAAGCTCAAGCTGAAAAACTGAAATGTGATGTGGCGGCCTGACAAAGTTTTCTAAGGCTGGCAAGACATAGTTCCAAGCATTTTGGATGAACTCAAAATGCCCCAGAAGTTAGTTTTCCATTAAACTATCAAAATAGTAACGCAGACATGGATCCAAGTTGAACTGTGTAAGCTTAAAACTAAAGATTGGGGTTCCTTTCAATTCAAATTGCCATATTTTAGTACTGTTAAATAAGAGAAGGCTAAAGTTAGCAATATTACCGGAAATATGAATGAGCCAGAGCAGCAGGGGGAAACTGGGTACATTCAACTGATAGATCCGTACTGTGACATTTCGGAATTAAAACCACTTTGCACTTTCTACATCTTTAGCATCTGCAAGATGTTCTTACAATCACAGCAGTAAGTGCTAGACATGGCATGTTCCTACTTTGCTCGGTTACTCTATACTTCCTATATTAACCTGGTAGGACTGGACGCAAACCAAAAGGGCCTTTCGTCGGGGAGATGCCACGGACGATACAGTCGAACAGAAAGCTGATCTGCTCTCCTTCAGCACAAGAAAGGAAAAAAACACCAGCCCCTGCAAGAAAGCACAACATAGAGATGTGTTTTTCACCTGGATGCATTAGAAATATACTCAGCTGAAGCTATTTATAATACAGCAAAAGAGTATTAAGCGTAAGCCATGAAAAGAAATCAACAAGACATGCTCCCCAGAAAAAAAGAAATAAAAAGAAAAAATTCAGATCAGCACACACACACACTATATCACAAACATACACATAAATTAAATAGCTACCTAATAATTTATGCTAATTTTCTGAGATTCAGGCAATTAGAGCAATTCCAAAATACAAGCCATATGCTCAACAGCTGTCTGGGTCTTTTGTTCGTGTTTACCCCTAAAATTTTGTAGATTAAATCTTAGCTATGCAAGTGTCAGGGATACTTGACTTTATCAAAATTGAACCAAGTTAATTGTGCTTTTACCCAATTGTAACCAAGAGCAGCTTTTTATATCCCAAGGAATCAGGATTTGGCTATATTGCTGGATTGTATTATAAAATTTCTTAGACTGAGTCTTATGTATCTATTATTAACAGAACGCAACATGACTCCATAGGTTGTCATCAGATCTTTACCCTTTGCTCTATTCTGATACTTTGCTTTCCATTCATTAAGAATAGCCCCAAGCAAAATTAGAATGAGAATCACTAAATAAACAAACAAGTTCTGAGCTGCATGATATATGGCTACACGGACAACACACATGACTAGAAGTGCTCTACAGGGCATTTAATTTGAGAATTGTCAGTCCAAATATTACTCACATCAGGAGGTGGAAGGCAAGACTAGTTGACCTTTTTGATTATCTTAAAACACCAGGCAAAAGACCACCCTAGTAAACAGTGACTTCAGGAAAAAAATACAATAACCAGATACAAAATGAAATTAAATTATTATATAGGCCTTTAAGAAGAGTTGCCAGTTCAGCAGAGTCATGCATACTTGAAAACCACAATACTAAATCTGAGACCTGCAGCAGGGATTTGCGTATTTCCGAGGGACTCAGGCCCCTAATCTGGCTATAAGTTTGACTTCTGCATGTCTACAGCCAGTTCTGAGTTGCATATATATTTTTGCCAATTTTATTTAAAGCAGCAGAGCTGGTCTTGACCAGAATGTCTGCATCCCCATCACTTTCCACACATACGCCCTGTCATATCCAACAGGATATTCACATTTCACTTAAGCAATGGATACACTTTTAACTGCTTTACAAAGGGCTATGAGATTCAAGCAAAGGGGATAATAAAGAGTGAACCACAAACAAAGTAACTATTTTAGTAAATTAGATATTGCCAGCAAGCAGTAAATTGACCACTCTAAGAAAAGCAGATTCTGGTCCGTTCTCTTTAATCATTCTGAATTTATGTCACGTCTAAGTCTCTGTCTGCTCTGCTTAAATCTGTTCAAGACAACACCGTTAGCAGCATCTTTATAACCTGATTTGTCACTCCACCACATTTACTCCACTTCAGATCTAACCGATCAAAATTTCTCCAGCCAAAACCCAGAAATCCTGTTCCTGGTCAAGTTTATTTCATTTGGTGAATTGCTATAAATCCAACAGGAATTAGAATGCACTCAGGGGCAGAAGTCAAATTGGTACTTAAAGGCTGGCTTGCCAATCATTTCCAGAGTAAAAGGTTTCAAACATATTACTCGAGACTCGGGATAGACAAATGTTAAAAGCTATGTTTAAGCAACTGAAAAGATGAACACACGCTAGCTCATGAAACATAAACCAGCAGAAAGCCTACTTAACTCTGGTGGCATTGTTTTCTGTTATTGTTTTTAAAAACAAGTTTGTCTCATGTTTTCTTATGGCACATATACACACTCTGGCTTCAATATAAAGACCATCTAGGCGATTACAAAACTAACCACACAGTCTGACAGGTATGAAAGTTTCTGGTGGTGACTCATTCACAGTCCTGTCCCATTCCCCCTTCCCAAGAGATGCCAAAGAGTCAAGAGAACACTGTATTAGAAAAAGCTGGGTGCAAAGTAGGTATTCAGGATTTATTTAAAATTCAACTCTTCTTTTGAGCTGCCTTCTCCTCCTCCCACAGAGTAGATGAAGTATAGGGAAATCAGTTTGTCTAATCTTAGATGGTATGACTCTTCCCCGATGAACCACACTGATGCCAGAAGACATGCCTTCCTTGAGGGTGCAGGGCAGCACAAGGCTTTGCTGGGCTCTGAACAAATGACCTTCCCATCTCATGCACAATAAGCAAGCAGGACAGAGATGACATGACAGAGGATATTCGTACCTCAAGCCCAGTGATGAACTACATGACTTGAAAAGTCAGCAGAATCCTATACATTCATGTTGCCACACAGGAAAATAAGATTCCTCAAATATTTCTGTACATAAAGAGTATATCTGGACCATTTTGTTCTTTTATCACTATTGTCGAGTCATAATTTCCTAAGAGGCTCTACAAACTTTTGACTTTAATGGAAAAGAGAAAGTAAATGTGTGCATGTGAGCTGTCTGCTTTACTCAAAGGATGATTTCTGCAAAGAACTATCACACATTTGGAAATCTCAAAAACAAATGTAACAGCCTTTATATAGCTAGTACAAACAGTGTACACACATGCACGTAGATACAAATCCAATATACACATATGCGTAAAATATTTTTTGCAGATTCTCTTATTCACATGATCACTGCAATCACTGAACAACTCTCATAGGAAATGTCTCCTTTCTTGTTTTCCTAGGTAGAACTAGATTGCAAGGGAAGGAAGAAGTCTGGGTGTCCTTGCAAAAGACATTAGATAAGATGAATGAATAGGTAAGGCTTAACTAAGTTATGTTTTAAAAGCATACATAAAAGTCAGTAATTTCATTTCTTTTCTGCTTTCTTGAGAAAGCAGAGAAATTCCCTACTAGAAATTACACATCTCAGTCATGTGTTGGAAGAGATTTGGTGCACAAGCATTTGGAAGCCGAGGAATACGTGGTATGCATCACTGTAATACCGTGCAGCTGTTTAGCAGACTGAAGAGCTCCCTCACTCATTCTCTCCATGGGATAAGAGACCTGGTGAAAAGCAGCCTGCAACCACTTGCACAAGGCTGAAACACTAAGCCGGTTCTCTGTGGCAGTTAGCAGTAAAGCATTGTACAGTCTCCCAAATGATCAAGAGAAGTTGCCAATTTTATAAAACTTCCAAGTATTATTAAATCTTGCTAATGTTTGATTTTAACTTATCATATTAAAAAAACAAGCCCATGGGCAAATGCATCCTGAAAATGCACAATAACCAAAAATTACTTAAACCTCTGTACTGTGTGTGAAAGTAGGGAAGAAGAGTCAGTCTCTTCATGAACTATTCCTCCTAACAGGTGCCAGCCAATGCTAGAGCCTGAAGTCTTTTAGCTACAGGACACATACAAACTACAGCAGTTCAGTCTACGGCACTCATCGTGCTGTCTAACCAGCCTTAAGAAACCCCCTTTAGAAGGGATCTCAGGCTGCATGGCTCAGGCTGCTCTTCTCTCTGGTGAAGATGACAATGGGTGTTCCTATTATTGCGAACTCGGACTTGGGCACGACTATTAAAAACAAGATGTTTGTTGTCTGCAGTAAGCCTAAGTAGGAGACAGCAACAGAATGATACCTGCACATAAACAGATGTTTTAATCTGTACAACCCAGAATCTCTCAAAAAATACCAGATGTTGCCCCAGTTCAACCACTTCTACTGCTTCTAATTTTCAAATCAATTCCCATTTGTGATAGGACTCCTCTTCTCGTTTGGCCCTTCTAGATATACTAGTAGCCATTTCCAGTATTTCAGAATGACTTTAAGAACCACTTGCTTAGAAAGAAAGAAAGAAACACCTAATTTCATCAAAACATCAAAAAGATCACAGAAATACTCCTGCTTATTCTGCAGCTAGCAGCAGCAGTATCATTAAAGGGCACCAAGAGTTCTACAGGTTCCTGTTTTCTAGGAGACGCTGTTAGAAAATATGAGGCAGGGTCAAACTAGGCTCTGGAAGCTAATCCTGAAGTACTTGAACATTGGTGAGCCTGAATTCCCACAGCATTAACATGCCCTTCTGTTACCTTACTTGAACTTTTTCACACTGACCTCCAAAGTAAGATTATCCCAGCTACCGGTCATTTTAATCAGTGCACACTAATTGAGCTAGCGAATTAGGAAAGTGAGATGCTCCCTCTTTCCAATGACTGAGCTTCAGCTACAGAGAGGCTGGGGGCAGGGGGAGCCAAATTTTGCCCCAGAGATGAACTTATTTGCAGTTGTCAGAAGCAGAAGATAGGATTTTCTAATCTCTAGACATACAATTATGATGTTAAGAGCAAGAGAGGTCCAAAATGTAAATGCTTTTTTTCCCATTTAAGAATAACCTGGTGTTATTCATCTTGAAAATGCACCTAGATTGAATGTTCGAAATCTCAGCATTATCTCAGATAGTTTCCCTCTACCTGGATTGAGCACTAAAGTATTCGGTGTTGAACAAAATCCATACTGAGTAACTAAGTATTTTATAGTTATGAAACATTTTGTGAGGAAGCAAGGAACAGAAAGCTAAAACAGAATCAGATCCTTTTAGGCCTCAGTTCTACCTCAGAGATATCCAAAGTAAGCGAGGTTGGTGGGAGCAAAGATATGGTTTAACCTACAGGAGAGTAACACTAATAATAGAGTCTGCATAATAGCATATGATGTTTCTATAACAGGGTAATAAAGAGTGCTTTCATTTAGGAATTAAAACAACTTCTGTATTAACATACCAGTTTTGGTTTTTTTTTCCTGGGCACTATTTGTTTATCCTGTTCCTCAAAAATTTCGGAGAAATGAGGTAAAAGAGTCAGATACCTGGAGAAAGATGGTCTTTCCCTTTACCAACGTTTTTCTGTCACAAATAACCAGTTATGTTTTTATTTAGGTCCTGTTTACAAAAAGCATTTTCTTCTAGTGGCAGTATTAAACCAAATACTCAAACTAAACACATATTTAAATGTTGTTATGCTT